CTTTTGGGACATTGTTTTTTAGATAGTTGTCTTGTGTTTGTGTTTTTCCACATATATGTTTCTGGTTTTAGTTCTAAAAGGGTGCTCAGAAGAGCACCCTCTTCTGCCGTTTTCACCATGATTTGTGGCACTCAAAATGGGACTTCCTATGGTTCTCTTTTAGCAACAGCTTCGTTTGTGTTGTAACTTAGCCAAATGGGGAAAATTTTAAGTGGTCTAAAGAAATGTTTCATGGCTTTTTATGACTTTTTGATGTGTTCCAAAATAAGTATAAAAACATATATAAAATTACAATAATATAGCTTCAAAAAATGTATATAGTAACTTCCTTTATTCATGTAACTGTTCTGTATATGAGTGAGTCTGTACAATGATGCCACAGTTTGAAAGGCTGGTATGGGGGAGCATTCCAGGGCTTAGTGCTCCTGGATGTGGTTCTTTTGGCAGACACTGTCTATGATAATCCACCATATATTCCTAAAGGCTTTGTCGGGTTTATGAGCAATCATGCTTCTGTCCAGCAGTACAAGTTACCTAGCACCCACTGGGGTTACTCTAGGATACAGATCAATGGCAAAAAATTGTATTTGAAGTGGAATTTTAAAGTTGAATCCATGTGCTTTCGGAAAAAGAATGAAAACAAAAAAAAATAAAAACCTGGTAAAAGAAAGGAATTCAGAGGATAGGCTTGTGCTATCCTTTGATTCAGTACATTATTCCCTCATTTCATCGCCCTCTCTCATGTCATCTTGAGTGCTAGCGTTTCCTGGATCTGGTATGGCTCTAATGATATAAGACATTTTAAAGGGTTTATTTAAAGAAGTATGTAAGGATTGCATTTCCAGGAGTTTTAATTCCATCCACTTACTTGTGTTAATATCAAAGCTAAAATCAAATACTAATTTACGCTTAGCAGTAGACCTTCATCCTTTTATTCAATCAAGTTAGGAAATGCTGTCCGACTGTTGAGCTCAAGCTACTGTTTGTTACAGGTCAAGATTTACTGCAGCAGCATAATCTCTCACAGAAATATTTTACAAAACTACAGCCATGCATCTGTTCAATTGTTCAATCATCAGGAGGAAAAAAATATGCTGTAATAAAATAAGGAAATTCAGAAATAATATTTCCACTGATGAAAATGTGGCATTGCACATAATGTCTCCAGTAAAGTACAGTAGAGAGTGTGTAACCATGAGCCTGTTCCTCTCCTAAGGGAACAAGGAACATTTTTAATGCATGACTTAGTAAACTATTTGAAATTCCCACAGATTGTAAATCTAGTGGCCTCTGTCTGATAACTAATTGAGTTCCTACTGAAACTTCATAATGATAATGATTAAAAACATGTGACAGAGTCACTCACAGAATTTGTTCTCCTAAAAAAATTTACATTAATGGCTTTGAAAACCTCTACAATGGGTTTAAGGCATGAGAAAAACTCTGGTCAGTCTGTAGAGATCCTAAAAATATTGCTTTACCTTTATGAGCTAAGTTAATTCAATTAAATTCAGTTTATTTGTATAGCACCAATTCACAACAGATGCCATCTCAAGGATCTTTACAGTTCACCAGAACATACAGTCAAATTGATTCAAAGTTTTCTATCTAAGGAAAACCAGTTGATTGCATTGACTCGTTGACTGGTAGGCAATCCCTCACACTAAGGATGCTTGTAGCGACAGCGGAGAGGAAAACCTCACTTTTAACAGGAAGAAAGCTCCAGCAGAACCAGACTTAGTATGAGCGGCCATCTGCTGAGGCCGACTGGGGTTTAAGGAGACAGAAGCAGACATACAAAAGGCAGCTGTAAAAGGCGGCCCCGTCCAGGAAACACAAAGCCAGGTAGACGAGCTCCGAGCCAGCTCCAATGTCAGAGGATGAAGAGCGCACATCCAGCCAGTCACAGTTAGAGAAACAGGACTACACTGAAAAACAGGCAGATCTCGAACATCTATAAACAAAAGTGTTTATGGCAGCAGTGCAGCTGATATTTCTATCCAGGTGATATTTTACAGAGTGGGAGAATAGAGATGGAATGAAGCAGAATGATGAAAAAGGGGTCCCTATGTCCTCCAGAAGTCTAAGCCTATAGCAGCATAACTATAGCGATAGCTCAAGATAAAAATAGCTCAGGAGCAACGTTACAGGAGGTTGCTATAAAGGGGCATTAAGAGCAGAGTGCCAAAAGGCGTTACATATGATTATGATGTTATGGTGCTGCAATAAAGTATTGATTGTAATGTAGAGGGGGATCTTCATATCCAAAGTTTATATTTATCAAAAAAATTTACTTTTCCATAGGACAAGAAGGCAGTTTTAGCTGGCTTCTAATAATGGCATGACAAATTACATTGAATGCTAAACTACTAAATCTACTTTAGTCTAGTAATTTGCTCATATGTTCCACGCTTACGCACTGTTCATTATTGCTTTCCATCTCTTTTAGGACCAATGGCATCTCCCCACTCTCTTCCAAACAATCTGGATGGAAATAAGATAATGGAGAGGAGGCCGTCCAAAGTAGGGGTCAGTAGAGAAAGCAGCAGTGTGGACTTTAGCAAGGTAACCTAACCCCAGTACTGAGCACAGGTACTGTCCCATCATGATGGAATGCCTCCTACCAAGTTCATCCATGTTTTTCGTCTTTTTCTTGGTTGGCTCAGACATTTCAATCTTTTGTTTAAAGTTGTGCTTAAAAAGGTCAACATTCCATAACCTCTCGCCTATGAAGCAAGTATGTTGTCACCGATTATTATCCGATGGACAGAGAATCAATCCACAGAGTTAAAAAGTCTTCGGTGGTTATATAAGTCTTTCTTTTTAATAGCCCACCTCTCTTCCATGGCTTTCATTCATCCTGCCATTTGCAGTGTATCATCCATTAAATAAAATGGCAGGCTGCCATAAGTTGTTGTTATACAACCAGGCATTATGCTTGCCAAAAAATAAGGTGCAGTATGTACATGAGTCATAGGAAAGAGGATTGAAGGCATTTCATTTCTACAGAAGAATTGTTGCCATGCTTAAAAAAGAATTATACACCACACAAAAATTATATTTAAAGAATATGATATTTCTTGCATTACTTGGACAATCTTTGCTCAGTACTATTTAGGTCTATCTGTTGTTCTCCGTTTTGTAAAAATATATTTTTTTCCATGGTTTCATTCTGCATGACCACCCCCACCCCAGTGTTTCTATTTATTAGTTTATAAGTTGTATTTCTGATTTGACCTTTTCTGTATTCCAGGTAGACATGAATTTCATGAAAAAGATTCCTCCTGGTGCTGAGGCCTCCAATGTGCTTGTTGGAGAAGTGGACTTTTTAGAGAAACCCATAATTGCATTTGTACGGTTATCCCCAGCAGTCCTCATCACAGGTCTCACTGAGGTGCCAGTTCCCACAAGGTACTGCAATCTGAAAATTGTTGCCTTTCACTCCTAGAAATAGACACTTGATTCCATAGACTGCTGCTTCCAAAAGTCAGGATGGCTTACTAAATAAACTTACTGTAAACATTTTATGAAATAATTAAGGGGATAGACGTGTTTCCAAATGTTTATTTTGTCCACCACTTTGTCCTGTATTTATATTTGATGGAAGTAACAAAGTTATGTTTTAGAAGACTCACATTAAGCCACAGTCCTCTCTACGTTTATTTACAGGAATGTGAGTAAAGCTTTAAAATCAGATCAAGGTTTGATTCATTAGCATTATCTTTCTCTGAAAACGTTTAACTCGATTACATGTAATCATATTGGTAAAGAAATAAAGGTTTTATTCTAGATATTCCCATTCTGGTGACTGTAACAATTCCTATAAAGTATAAATAAATTCTTTTAGAAAATAACCCTTCAATTTGACAAATTTCCTGCTAGTCAAGGAACACATTTTCTGCAGTTCAATTAATGTGTCTGAACACTGAAGCCAGCTTTTCTCTCCCACTGTTCAAAATGAGAAAGACAGGAAGACGCACCATTCAGATGTCTAAAAGGATTGTTGATCTTTATACATCAGGAAAACGAGAGAGCAAAATGGCCAACTCAGAATTCAAAGCAACGATTGTGAAACTATAACAAATAACGGTGGAACCAATGTTCATTATTAGAGAATGGTACCAAGTTTTTGAGTTTATCTTTTTTGCTGTAGATTTTGTGGTATATTTCAGACATTTACAGTTTGTGTTAGGTGACCTTCAGCAACACAAACATAGAAATGTTTACCCAGGACAACAATTTGATCAGTAAGACAATTTTATTAGGTTTCTTAATCATTGTGTCAAAATGCCAAAGCAGTTGTGGTTTGTTGCAATTAAAATGTTATTTATTTACTACATATTTTTACCAACTGGGTCAAAAAAGGAGATAATGCATATTTCTGATAGACTTTATCTTCTAAGAAGGGCTGATATTGTGTTATTCGTAAATGTTTCTTCTGTGGAAAGGTTTCTTTTTCTTCTTCTGGGTCCACATGGTAAAGGACCACAGTACCATGAAATCGGCAGATCAATGGCAACGCTAATGACAGATGAGGTTAGAATGGGTTTTATTTATTTATCTTTTTGTAATATTTAATGATTTTCAATCTGCTTTTTTATGCACCCGTCTATATTATTCCTATTTATTACTGCACAGCTGTAACTCCTTATTTGATTTGTCTGTAGATTTTCCATGATGTGGCTTATAAAGCCAAGGACCGTACAGATCTGCTGTCAGGAATAGATGAGTTCCTTGATCAGGTGACTGTCCTTCCCCCTGGTGAATGGGACCCCACCATCCGAATCGAGCCCCCGAAGAATGTCCCATCTCAGGTTAGTACAAAGCTTAAAGTTTGTTTGGGACAGTGAATATTTAGTGAAAAAATACTGTGTATAGCATAATCTTAATGATTAAAAACTCTGGTAGATGTAGGTATAGAAATTGTTTACTCGTGAAAATTACTCATTAGTGCAGCCTTAAAAAGGCTACTCATTGTATTAAGGTATTCAAAAGTTTTCCTTTCACCTTAAAGCTGCACAAAAGCTAATGATAACTTGTTTCAATTGCTCTACCTGTAGTCAAAGCGGAAGAGACCATTGCATCCTAACGGCAGTGCACCTCCAGCTGGAGAGCAGGAGAAAGAGGATGATTACCATACAGGACCTGAGCTTCAGAGGACAGGGAGGTTAGTAATGCACTTTTCCGCTCTGCAAGAATATATTAATGTATCATTGAAATAGCTCAAGGAAATAAAGAAAACTGGATTGTTATGAGAGCTATTATATATGTTCAAGCATTAAATGAGAACATCTGTGATTTCTAATGTCTACTAATTTAATTGTAATGTTTAGGTTCATGCCTATAATGTAACATAGGAAGATTTGTTTTTAATTATGTTTTAGTTTGTTCATAATATTTAATTTTACTGGAAATAATAATAATGTTGTAAAAGAGTCCAACAACGATTTCTCTCCAATTTGAAAGCCTTTGTAAGGACCTAAGCATAAAGCTGGTGGGAAGATGAAACTCAACATTTTTTTTTTTTTTTTTCATGTACAAAAAAAATATCAAACACCCAAAGAAATAGTGTAATGTAGAGAAAACTTTTCCTCTCCCTCATATTTCACCGCCTACCTCACAAATTTAAATGTATTATTTTAGGTGTTCTAACATTAGTGAACCAAACAGAAGACACGGCACATATTCCCTATTTAAATGTAGATGTGTTGGTATTCTGTCTTGTTTTAACCATTCTGCAGTGGCTAAGTGAAATATGATTTTTTTTCCATCACATATCTACCTCAGGGAAAGAGGAATTCATGGACTGCTAATAAAAAAGTATACATTGATAAAATAGAAAAGCAATAACATTAAATACAGAATGCTTCAAATACACTTATTTAAAGGGATTACTGAGGGAGCCAATAACTGCCACCAAAGATTTCTAATAGTGTGTTTTAACTTAAAAAAACTTGGGGGTAGCATGGATATTTTCTTTTTTTGCAACATTTGCTGCTTAAATGTTGGTGCTTACTGTTTAAAAAAGTATTATTCTACATATATCCAGGTAAATGGATTAGATACAAATTAATAAGTGTTGATATGTGGTAATTAGATCCTTTGTCAAAAATCTTAGTTCTATCACCCATTTCCTTTAAAGGCAAGAGTTACACATTAAATAATGATGTGTGTCTAAACAGATACAAACCTGCACTCTGTGTGTAAATCTACTGCTGACATTTATGGATTACTGATTCTGAATCCCCAGAGCCACACAGTAAAAAGGATGTGTTTGTCTAAAAACGTCACACAGAGTGATACACACACTCACATCTATCAGAAGGCACTGTATTATTTACAGTATTACTTGGCTTCTATTCACTACTATAAAAGGTTAGTGCTATGAAGGTCACTACAGGAGGAAAACTGGGGGAAACTGAGTGCAGTAAGCCAAGGTACAGAGAATTGTGCTGCTCTAAAAAAGCAGCAGGGGATGTGAAGGCAGAATATAGAAGCTAATCCAGAGGTGTGGGGGTACAAAAATGAAAAAGGACTTCCCATCAGAATCTGTTGGACAGGTGTCTGAGGGAAAAATATTCTAGGTGAGAAATGATTTTTAAAAATAGAATCCCTCAAAGGAAACTTGAGAAAAGCAGAAACTGTTTCTATTATTCCACTTGTTGGTTTAATCTGCTTTTCCAAATAAATTATCAAAACAAATGTAACTATAAAAAAATGCTATCAATAAAATTTACTAAGAGCTGCTCCTTGAGAGGAACTGCTGACTCTGAGGTATAATACATTCAGTTAAATATTCACTCAGATTTTTGTCTTTAAATTTGTGAGGGGATTGAAACAACTATAAAGCAAGAAATCTTTATCTAAAAACACTCTGTAGGCTTTGCTGTAGTTTTTAAACGCCGCTTTAAGACGATGTAATCTGCTGTTACTGTAAAATTCTGAACACTTTCTACTTTTCTTCCTTTCCAGGATTTTTGGAGGTCTGTTCCTAGATGTAAAGCGGAAAGCTCCCTTCTACTGGAGTGACATTAAGGATTCATTTAATCTTCAGTGTTTAGCCTCCATCCTGTTTCTGTACTGCGCTTGCATGTCACCTGTCATCACATTTGGAGGTCTGCTTGGAGAGGCAACAAAAGGCAACATAGTGAGTCACAAAGCACAAGTGTACTGACTTGAAAGTCAGTATTTTAGCCAGTGAGAAAGAAACAGTGTTTTATTAGCCTTGTGCTGTTAAGATGGGAGAGAAATAGATTTTTTTCTTGAGCTTTGAAATCAGAACCAACACTTCTACTGAATATGTGGTCCGATCTGTTGTTTCTCATCAAAAATATTTTGTATTTGATGATTGCAGTGGAAAGAACACTGCTGTAAGGCCTCTTTTACACCAGATTAAAACAAAACCACAGTTCAGAGAATCTACAAGAATACTGATATTTTCCATTGGGTTTTGGAAATGTTTAAAAAGATGCGTTATGTCATATATTGTTCTTGGTGCACCAGATAATCTGAAGTTGAGTTTTCAAGGCCATTACACCAACACAAGTCTTTCAGAGGGCCCAATAATTGGACATAATGCTCTTGATGGTTCAGTTGTAAGCACATTGTGTCCAGTCACTGCTTGGACACACTAAGTAGCTAAGAAACAACAATAAATTATTCCAGATAGGCAAAATACAAAACTATGTTCAGGCCTCTGCCCATAGAGATGGAAGGGTAGGAGTTTCAGTTGAAAATTTGAAACCAGGTGTAAAAGTTCCCCCACAATTTCAAATTGTGCTTTTGCTGGTTGTTTGATTGGAGTTGCAAGATTTTTAGAACGGATTTTAAAAGCAAAACTTCTTGTAATGCTGTCAAACAGAAGTCTATTCATGTTCTTGGTGATGTGAAGGACATTTACCAGCAGCTGATATGGTTTCTAATCCTGTCTAACTGAATGTGAACAGTAACAGAGGTCCTGGAAACCATGGGATGGTACTACAAAATTATTTTTAGTTATTAGATTATCAGTAACAGAGCATGCTGCAGTTGATTTAGATAGTGTTCACTACAGTGTTCCTTTCCCTCTCTTTCTGCCTCCCTCCCTCCCTTCCTTTTATCCAGATGCCCTTACTGGTCAGTCACTGTTGGCACAGACAGCGTTTCAGCTAGAATGTGTAATGTGTCTGAGTAAACTTAGCAGGTCAAGAGCAACATAGAAACATAACTTAGGACAAGTTAGCCATGTGGAAACATTCAACACTGTGGAGGCTCTGAAAATCAGCATATAAATTATGTTTGACTAAAACTCTTTATTTCTGCTCAGGGCCTCCTTTTCCCCTCAATCTCTTTTACTCCCTTACTCCACCCATTTCCTCTGTCTCTGCAGAGTGCAATAGAGTCTCTTTTCGGAGCATCACTGACAGGAGTGGCATACTCACTCTTCTCAGGACAACCTCTCACAATTCTTGGCAGCACAGGACCTGTTTTAGTGTTTGAAAAGATCCTATTTAAATTTTGTAGGTGAGTGTGGGTTTTCATGATTAATTAATTAGTTTTATTTTGATGATTAGTTAAGTTTTTTCTTATATTTGATTATTTTTTTAACCCTTCATGGTCTTTCCTTTCCTTTTTCTCCAGTGATTATGGTCTATCCTACCTATCACTACGGACCAGCATTGGACTGTGGACGGCGTTCCTGTGTATTGTGCTGGTAGCCACAGATGCAAGCTCCCTGGTCTGCTACATCACTCGTTTCACAGAGGAGGCCTTTGCAGCTCTCATTTGCATAATCTTCATCTATGAGGCCCTTGAAAAGCTATTTCATCTCGGAAAACATTACCCTGTCAACATGCACAACAATTTAGACAATCTTACTTTTTACTCGTGAGTGATAATATTTTCATAACCTAAATGTTTTTCTGCGCTTAGATTCCTTGGAAACTGTTAACTTTCTCTTTGGATAAATATATTATAATTATAGATAAACAATAAAATCCTACAGATAGATGGAGTTCTAGCGCTCCTGAATAAGCCTGTTTCATGAAGTCATGATGCTGCTTTACTGTCTGTTGTGTTGTCCTCAGGTGTCAGTGCTCTCCACCAGCCAATATCTCTGATCAGTCCTTGATGAACTTGAACCTAACGGAATATAACAGCTCGGACTCAATCCCTTGGAGCAACCTCAATGTTTCGGTGAGACTGCCTCAATGCGACCTCTAGTGGGATAATCTGCATTTTCAGCCTCAGACAGTTAGTGATCCATAGAAAGCATGGGTATCACACTAAAAGCCTTGGCAGCTGGTGTCCAGCTACTTTTATATGTGTCCCTTTCCCTTCACACCTGAATCCAACAGCTAAACTAATACACCTGCAGCAGTTAAGTTATGCTAATTAACTTATATTAGAGTAAGGTGTTTAAAGCAGAGACACATTTATGATATGTTAAGTCTCAGCTGCATGTTTCCAAACTTGGGCGTTTTTTTTAAGGACATAATAATATGCAACTGCAAGGCGTCAAACAGACTGTATTCGATAAATTAAAGAAAGATGGCAATAAAGTGGTAAACGTTTCTGAAGTTCAAGAGATTTTTAACCTAAACTACATTAATTATAAGAATAGACTAAATAGTCTGCCCCTATGGATTGGACCCATTCACACTGATACCCAGTCTAGAATTTTCTTCTGGACCAATACTGGTATGTATGTCACATTGCTGCATCTTTAATTCTGGTGTAAAGGTTTCAGAATACAGAGTGCATCTCAGCTATGCAGGTCAGTCAGGGTGCTTACATGATAGCATCAGGAGGTGCAGTGAACAGCCAAGCAAAGTTAAGCAATATGATGTTTTAAGCAACATTCTGCCTGAAAATTCAGATTCTGCAAGTTGATATTAGTTATCACTTTTAGGCAAGTGCTCACAATGATATGCCTGTCTTGTTTCTTGTTTTGAAAATCATGATCATTACATTCATACATTTTTTTTATCACCACAGAATATTAGAGCAAAGATAGGTTTTCCAAAAATGTATCATTGCCAGATCTATTTAAGGAATACACAGAAAACTAACTTTTGTAGCAGGCTGATCTGTAGTGGCAGCACACTAGGGATTTGCACAGATGGGGTTCAGGAAGAGGATGTATAATGCAGTTAGCTGCATGTAGTTTCCCCTGAGGTTACAGAAAAAACAAAGTGAGATGGGCTGCCATCCAAACAGCTGAGACCCAATACTGTAATGACAAACATCACAGGTGCAGACATCCAGCGCCTCTACACAGGCATCAAAGCAACACCCATCTAAACCTGACGAATAACCATCTTATTGCACAGTTGTTTGTTTTTATGGTTTTTAAGATTTGAAATACAGTTTACCATGAGATTATTCTTCTTTAGCCAGTTGATTCCTGGGTACCAATCAAGTCTGAATCTCCTCAGATTTATACATTATATCATTTTATGAGACAGACCAACTAAAACTTGTGCTTAACTGTGCAGTATAAATAAAATAATTAATCATTTGTAGTATTTAATTTATTTGTAACAGTCTGAATAGTTTTGTTTATACCATATTTTTAGAAAGTTATAGATAGCTGCCCTGTTGGTTTTAGAGATGTCCCTACTTCAACATACCTAATTTACATAGCTGCAGTTAATCATAAACTGCTTATGAACTACAGATGCAAATAAGGTGTGCTGAAACAGGGAAACGTCTACAGCAGGGTTCCTCTTTTCCGCTCCTTGAGGTTGAGTGTCCTGAACCTTTTTCATATGTCTCTGCCTCCACACCTCAAATCAAATGGATAAATTACCTCCTCAGTCTGCGGTCCGGTTCTCCAGAGTCCTGCTAATGACTTGATTATATAACTAAAGCATGGGGGACACCAGCACTTGGCAACTGACTTTGGACACTTCTTGTCAATCTCATTAAAAGAATAGTACACCCAAAACATGATTAGCCTTCATTTTCTACTCACCCCCATGCTGAACAACACTCTGGAGTACTTTTTTGATATCTCAAATGCATCTGGAGATCTGGGAGGCTTCTTGCTGTCTGCTGACATTCAAATAATGGAGGTGCCCAGCGCCCGAGGCAGAAAGGTCCATAAAAGTCCACAAAAAACGTGTCAATATTCCTCCATACTGCTCGTCCAATGTATTCCAAGTGTCCTGAGTGGGTAGCGTCCATAATTTACTCGAAACGAAGTCATTTAGAATGTTTTTAGAGCATAAACAGTAGTGTATAGGATTTCCTAAAAGCGCGTTCACGAGTCTACGGAAACCGCGGCAGACCAAACCAGACGAAAGTGCGCATTCAGCGTCTGCTCTGCCGATAATGCAAGCGTAGAAGAAGAAATGTGCTGTTTACCTGTGCAAAGAAAGAAACAACGAAAGAAAAATGTCTGAGGACTTCAGTGTTGAGGAAGAGCATGAGTTCTTTGCCGAGCTGAATGCGGCACTTTCGTCTGGTTTGGTCTGCCGCGGTTTCCGTAGACTCGTGAACGCGCCTTTAGGAAATCCTATACACTACTGTTTATGCTCTAAAAACATTCTAAATGACTTCGTTTCGAGTAAATTATGGACGCTACCCACTCAGGACACTTGGAATACATTGGACAAGCAGTATGGAGGAATATTGACACGTTTTTTGTGGACTTTTATGGACCTTTCTGTCTCGGGCACCATAGACCTCCATTATTTGAATGTCAGCAGACAGCAAGAAGCCTCCCAGATCTCCAGATGCATTTGAGATATCAAAAAAGTACTCCAGAGTGTTGTTCAGCATGGGGGTGAGTAGAAAATTAAGGCTAATCATGTTTTGGGTGTACTATTCCTTTAAGTCCCACTAAAAAACTCTGTGGCTGTGACTGAGCACAATGCTAAAAGTTCAGGATATATGAATATTTGAGTAAGAGGCTGCAGATAACTTAAGAGTAAACCTTATTTATGAAAAAAGTCCTGGAACAAAAGAGACTTCTTGTTTAAGACCTATTGTATTATTTTCACTCAGGAAGTTGTACACTATGCTGTAATTAAAACTCCTTTAGTGAAATACTAGTTGTTTGGATAATATTTTCACATGCAATTAAGTGGGTATTGCAATAACGTACAAATATATTCAGCCCTACTTGAACTGTATTTTTTTTAACGTAAAAGTCCTAAATTGCTTTCAATACTTATTTCTAACAAATTAAACACTCACTTTACACTGTTATTGTATTTTCCTTTTTCTCTAGATGTGCAAATTGCTCCATGGTGAATTTGTGGGTTCTGCCTGTGGTCACCATGGTCCTTACATCCCAGATGTCCTGTTCTGGTCTATTATCCTCTTCTTTACCACCTTCTTCTTGTCTTCATTCCTCAAGCAGTTTAAGACAGAGAGATACTTTCCCACAAAGGTGAGATTTTTGGGGGCAAGTTAGAATATTCATTCCAAAAAGATTTGTTTGATAGATTTTATGTACTTTTTGGAATGTACTTTAAGGTTTTAAAATTAACTTTTATTAAGTCTAAATGTCTGTATTAAATGTATATAATATCCAATGAAACAAAGAAGTCCTTAAAATTACATAAATATTATTTTAAATATAAATCCCTTCATCTTCTGCCACTCATCCATCAAGGTCACTGAGGATCTGCTGCAGTGGTGATAAGCACCCATGGGGTACACCCTGAACAGGTCACCAGTCAATTGCAAGACAATACAGACATGCACACAGGCACACCTAAGGGCAATATTCAGATACCGGTCAACCTCATAGTCATGTTCTTGGACTGTGGGAAGAGCACGGAGTACCTGGGGTGTACCCATGCATGCACAAGGAGAATATTCAAAACAACTCTAGGCTGGAAGTGGAACTTAGGATCTTCTTGCTGCACCACCTTGCAGCACCCACATACAGTATAATTGACCTTAAATGTTGTATTTTCATTCGCTTTAAGTGTAAAAATTCCATACAGGCTTGAAGATATTACTCTGTAGGTAATGTGTTTCACATGTTAGAGTCCAGTTGATTAAATGTCTGAATATGCTGTTAAATAGTAAATACAGATACAAAGAAAAATAATCTGTTGTACCCCTGGGTATAAACTAGTGTGGGTGGTTGCATGAAGGTTTTCCTATTCTGTAAATGTTTATGTTTCATTAGTAACTGTTATGCCACAGCAGTTGTGTGTGTAAAAAGATCAGCGCCCTCTCCCACACACTAACATCGAACCTATTACCACTTGATGTGGGCAGACGTTGGCATTGTGTGACTAACTGTTGACGGCAGTATTATCAGCAAACTTGTGTCTACAGAAAGTTATTTCTTGAAATGAAGTAGTTTTAATGTAACTGATTAACACATAAAGATGACCCAGTCTGCATATCTGTTTGTGTTTATCTTATAGGTGCGTTCCACCATCAGCGACTTTGCTGTGTTTCTAACCATAATGATAATGGTGGTGGTTGATTATCTGATGGGGATCCCGAGTCCTAAGCTGCATGTCCCTGATCGCTTTGAGGTTGGCATATATTCCTGTTTTAGATATTAATTTATTTTATAGTTTCATGCCCTGTGAACTAAATGAAACCGTCACTTTTCCCTGTAGCCAACATCAAAGAACAGAGGCTGGCTAATGGACCCATTAGGAGAAAACCCCTGGTGGACGCTGCTTGTGGCAGCAGTTCCTGCTTTACTCTGCACCATCCTCATCTTTATGGACCAGCAGATCACTGCAGTCATCATCAATCGCAAAGAGCACAAGCTAAAGGTCAGAGCCAACTCTGTAGAGAAAGCTTTCTCAAAGGTTCTCCTCTAAAGCATTAGATTTCTGTCTCAGTAACAGTGTGGCAGTGCAACAAGAATTTTAAGTCTTGCCAACTTGAATGGATTAAAACCTTAAAACAAAACAACTAATGGTTCCTGATCCACACAATATCTGAAACATGTTCTAATATACATACTAGCAATATTTTTATTAAACTTCCTATCATCAACACTTCTTGGTATTCCTGAGTTTTTAAGGAAAAGTCAACAAATGCATGTATTCCTAGATGACCTGTTTGTGTGAAGCTTTAAGATGCATAGTCACGTTATATGTCTGTACAAAAGTTTAAATAAGGCTATATTTCCTAAGCATCTGTACAGAGAGTGGTTTAGTAGTTCTTTCTGGGTTTAAATTGAATTCAAACACTGGGGATGATGAGCATGAATAAGCAGAGATGATGCCATCTGCTGGCAGTACCATTCAGAAATCAGTATTTGTTTGTATAGATTTTCTAATTTTGTTTTGTTATAGATAATGTTTGTTTATAAGATTGATCAACACAAACAACACAACACATAAAATTACTGACCAATCGGGGAACCGGGATACCACTGTCCTTAAACCAGGTACTAATATCGTTGGTCTGCAGCTGCCAAGTAGGCTGACCAGATCTAAAAAAAAAACAAGTTAGGATGCTTATCCTGGACAATGCAGGACAGAAGTCTTTTTCAGCTGTTTGTTTCTTTTAGTGTTGTTTTAGATTTCGTTGCCCCCAAATCAAAATTAAAAATAACTTCAGTAAAAGCTTTCTATGAATCATCTGTCACTGGTCTCACCCTGTCTAAACCACAGTCTTTCTTGTGGCTGTATTTAAAAAAAATTAACAATAGTTTCCATTATATTTTATTTTGTCCAATCCTTTACCTGTTTAGATTTTAAGAGCATCCTGTGCAGCCTGGTAATGACATGGGGAACTGGTGCTGCCCTGTAACAATAGGTACATTCTAACTGGGTTTAGACCTGTGTTGGATTGTGTGCGGCGTAAGAGAACAAACTGTGAGATACTTCATCAGTATAGTACAGAGGACTCCAAAGGAAAGTTTTAGATTTTTTTTATTGTTTTGTTTCGTAAATAAATTTCATAATGCAAACCCAATGCCAGTCAACTTATTTAGTTGCAGACAGGTCCGTCCAGCTTCACAACAGACTTTTAAGAGCCTGGAGAGTAAAGCCGGCCTCACACATACTGTATGGGGCTGTGCAGTAATCCTCACTCTTATTTCAAAATTTAGATCTCATTATATGACCAGCAGCTGCAGAGCCAGAGCTGTAATTTTGAGGTTTAGATGAAAGGAATATGTTTATGACTAAAAAGGATTTTTCACCTGTCTGATTTTTTAACAACATTTGGTTTTCTTTAATGATATTGGTAGCTATATTTAGGCCAGCTGTCTGTTAATTTCGTTATATGACATCAAACACGTTATTTCAACTAATATTATTAAAGGAAACTTTCTAGAAATTTTTTGGGATATTAGCATTGAATATTCTTAAAGAAATGAGACCCACCAGATTATTCTTGATATCCCTATTTTAACTCAGATAGTAACTTTAGGTCCATTATTAGGCTTACGTTGGAATCTCTTTCCTTGTGTTAAATGATGTTTTCCTCGTCTGTCTTACAGAAAGGTTGTGGCTACCACCTGGATCTACTGATTGTTTCAATAATGCTGGGGGTCTGCTCCATTATGGGCTTGCCATGGTTTGTGGCTGCAACTGTCCTGTCCATCTCCCATGTTAACAGCCTGAAGGTGGAGTCCGGTTGCTCTGCTCCAGGAGAGCAGCCCAAGTTTCTGGGCATTCGGGAGCAACGGGTCACTGGGTTCATGATTTTTACCCTCATGGGCTGCTCTGTGTTCATGACCTCCGTGTTGAAGGTGAGATCAGTAGAATAATGCTTTATATCACTACAAAAAGTATTGAGAAGTAGCTTATTTTATAGACATCTAAAAGTTTCAAGAAAACACTTTACACATTTTTCTTTATTCTGTAAGATTATTTATTGTTGTGGGCAATTTGCTGCTTTTTACAGTTTATTCCCATGCCAGTTCTGTATGGAGTCTTTCTCTACATGGGTGTCTCTTCCCTCAAAGGCATTCAGGTAAGACTCCATCTATTACAGGTGCCTTTAAAACGTGTACTAGCAGTTAGTTTAACATCCGTGACATGTTTTCCTTTAAAATAACAACTTCTCTCATCTGAATCACCACTGAAGTGTTTTGTCTCTTTCTTCGTAGTTCTTTGACAGAATCAAACTGTTTGGCATGCCTGCAAAGCACCAGCCCGACCTGATCTACCTACGCTATGTGCCGCTGTGGAAGGTCCATATGTTCACCCTAGTGCAGCTCACCTGTTTGGTGCTACTTTGGGTGATAAAGGCCTCTGCAGCGGCTGTCGTATTCCCAATGATGGTAAATGTTTAAACACCTCTGGACTCTTTTTTTTTAAACAGTTAGATCCTAACCAAAACATATAAAAATTTAAGAAATAATTTCTTATAAATGATATATTATGTCAAGTCATTGTCATTATTTGGGACTTTCACGCTGCAGTAGAAAGCATTTATTTTCATTGTTGTTTAGTTGATTTTGGTTTAAATGAAAGCCACAACAATTGTGTATATTTTGATGTATGTTGTTTGTCTTCAGGTTCTATCTATCGTGTTTGTGCGGAAGCTTCTAGATCTTTTGTTTACAAAAAGAGAGTTGAGCTGGCTGGATGACCTGATGCCAGAGAGCAAGAAGAAGACAGAGGATGACAAGAAAAAGAAAGCGCGAGAAAAGCTGGTGAATTTATCTTTTTTTCTCTAAGTGATTATTCTCTTTTTATAATATAAAGAATAAAGCTATTTTACAAGACCTTTCTACTGAGAATCTCATTCCTGCAATGAAACACTTAAAATGATGTCCTTTAGATTATTCAGCTACTTTTATTTTCAGGCATAACTATTGTTATTTATGACCACATAAATACTAAGCAGACCTTTAAATAAACTGTAGAAAATGCACAGATACTTAAAATGTGCTGTTTTTTGTTTTAACCAATCAAAATAAAAAGCACTGATACCCAACATGATAGAACAAGATGGCAACAAAAGAACTGTTTTACTAAAAATCTAAAACTTTTTGATGGCTTAGATTATTTTTACAGGCAGGTTGAAATCATCACATGAAGAAAACCTTTCAGAAGCCAACATATCCTGGAAAATAAAATAAATGATTCTAAAACTGTTTGCTTTAGGAGGAAGTATCCAGACTGGAGGAAGAGGAGAGGAAACTGAAGGTCCACTTTGAAGGCTCAAACAGGCTAAGCATCCCAGTCAACTCGTTTTCAGGGAGGTAAGTGTTGCCCAGAGAAGACTCAACGCTGAAGGTTAATCAAAAGGTTATCACTATAGTTATTTAGAGTTTTTAAGCTTGCTTGTGTTTTCATTTGAAACATTTAACAGCAGATATTTGTCACATGAAGTATGGAAAATACTTTGACATAATTTATCATGGTCCAATTTGTTTACATCATAAAACAGTTTTTAAAATCCAGTCATTAGACATTGTTTCATCTCAGTTACATCTGCTGTGTTTTTACTTAACAGTAAGTAATCTAAATACATTTTAAGATGGTTTAAATTGCTTCAGGATACCAAATTTCCTTTTTCCTATTTCCTTTTAGCAGCTTTTTCCTCCTCCTCATCGATATCATTAGACTGATGTTCTCTCTAAGAGGTTTTAGGGGTTAAATGTTGCCTACAATGGATTTTTCATTGTGTCATGTTGTTTTGAACAACCTGAAATGGTGACTTGGAGAGCTTTGTGTTATTATGTTCACCTCAAACAGATCTTACAGAATAGGAGTAGTGACCCACAGCCTCCCAGTGCAAGAACAGGTAGCAGGGCTGATTGTCTGATGCAAAACATCTGAGCCATATGGCTGCATATTAACGCTGTTTATGCATACTAGCATGACCCACACAGTGACTCTATTCATATTTAACTTTAAACCAGACTGCTTTGTTTATTTGTAAAGGTTAAATAGAGGGTGCTAGAATGTACTTTTCTAATAGATTTCCCTTTAACTAACTTTAAAATGTAAAAAGCACTAGCTTTAACCAAATATTTTTAAATTAAAAAGCAAACAATTTGTTCTGTATTAACTTGGAATGTTCTAGTTGAAAATATGTCCTGTCAGCCTTTCTCTGCCGCATTTTGTTTTGAACCATGATTTATGTGCATGCTTGTATCTGTGATTTTTGACCTGTTCTGCACTCATCTTCTCCCATTGACTCAAAGTCCACTTTCTTATCTTTGTGTTTTTGTTTGCATTCTGGCATGAAGTTCTGTTTCTGATGCCTTGGTTGAAAATATCTCTAATGAAATGGTCCAAACCTCAGTGTGGAAAGCAGTGAATTCCAGGGCAGAGTTCTGTGTCCAGCCTATGAGGCATTCAGGAAGGTAGCCATGCCTTCTGAAGTTTTCCAGAGCCTCCTATCAGTGGAATGAGATTAGATTGTTTTGGAGAAATCACTTTTCTGAAGCAGGTTATAAGTGTCAGATAATAATGTTAACATGGCTATGTTTTTTTCTTTTTGTAAAATAAGCTTAATTTTAACCACTAATAAAATCTCAGACATTTAGTAAGCAAAAAAAGACCAAGAACGTTATAAATAAAAAAGCTTTCCTGCTTTTAATGAGAGGTATCCTTTAATAAAAACAAAAATATCAAAATATAAAAAAAAAAAAAGTAAAATAATTAACTTAATTTAAACATAAAAACAATTTAAAAATCAATATGAAGAAAAATGTAGGAAATAAAAAAAAATGCTCACACTTAAGCCAATAGGTCATTAAAAACATGTTTTGATTTAATATGACTATAACCTTATTAGGTCCATTCCTTACACCAGTTATAGGAAAATTCTTGAAACTGAAATAAAGTATAGTTGCACGGCTTTATAGCTACAGAACTATACCAACAAATGATGGCATACCTCAAACAATGAGGGAGTAATTCCTATTCGGAAAAATAAAAAACCGAAGGTTCACACATTGTTTTTAAACATCACGTGAAGATCCTGCCTGTTTCTTATATAGTATTAGGTACAGTGCTAAATGTTATATAACTATGATAACTATTGAAAATATGGCATAAAAATACTTTAATCGCATTAATTCTCCTGCAATATACAGTTGTACTTGACAGTTTACATACCCTCCCATTACAGAAAATAATAAGTTCACACTAGAAATTAAATTAACAAGAAATTATTCAGGAACTCCATCAGGCCTTTTTTATTTGTTTTGTTTATTAATATATACATATGTATGTATATTTATATTTAAAATCAATGACATGATTTCCATTTTTTTTAAATCATTTTTACATTATTATTTCTTTTGTAATTTTTCAATGTATTTTACTTTCAGCTGATTTTTATGTAATATTTCAAGCACAACTGTCAATACCACACAGTCTATTAGCTCAAAGGCAATATCTGTTAATGATATTTTGTTTGGGCCTTGATAACAGCGACATTATGAAAATGAGAATCTAATCCAAATTGGATGAAAAGAGCAGAAAGAAACAGGTTGTTTAGGCATCCAGGAAGCCAATAGCAACACTGAGACAGCTGCAGGAATTTCTGACAATAACCGGATCCGGACTACTGGTGATGTGAGTCTGTTGTTTTCTATGTATTTCTGGACTATAGAGTAGTTCTGTAAAACAGAGAAGTCAAATTCTTTCAAAGCATAGTTTTCAAGTGTGGCAGCACCAGTGTTGTTCACAGACATGGTAGAAGAAGTAACGTGCCACTGCAGGTATTTGTTTATAGGCATAATTTCATCTGAGGTAAGAGTTGTAAATATTTCAGTAATTATGAACCGGGCGCCTTTTTAGCAAACAGAGAGCCAGCTGAGGGTCTCTTTATATTTTCAGGGCAGACCAGAGTTCATTTTAAATTTGCACCAATATTTACAGTGTTTAATTATGTCGCCGATCACACTCTGATTCAGCCCTTTTTGTCAAATTGGACAAAAGTTTATTTTCTCACCCTTGGATGGAGTCTGCGATGGGGTTTGAGGTGCACTTATGGCTGGTCTTTTGTGATCCATCTTCGAAAAACTATTGGCTGTATTCTGTGGCTATCGTCAGTGGCGCTGGAGACTCAACAAAGTAGCCAGGTGAAAGAGAGTGTGCACTTTGTTATACCCATGCGCTCACCCAGATATTTCAACCCAAACCACTCTCTGATGAACTGACTAATGCCACCTATAGAGGCTACTACAGTCAACAAAGCTCCTTTAAATTGAAATATTTCATAAAAACGACTGATTATTAAGAATAAAACTTTTAACAGGCATGAAATCCAGAAAAAAGAATAAATGAAGAATTCTGGACAGAAGCCTTGTTACAGCCACTGAGCTACTACTGTAACCAGGGGCGCCGTTTTGGGGGTGGGGAATTAGGACGATTGAACCCTTAAGAGTCCCCAAGCCCTTAAGGGGCACAATTTGGTCCCAACAGTCAGGATTTTTCCAGGAGTTGATATCCAGCTTGTTAAAGATATTTATCAAAAGAAAACGCAACGCTCTACATTAAATAAATCACAGCAATTTGGCGGATCTGCTAATTAAAGTCTATGGAACTGTTGTAATATTCAGTCATCGGTGTGGAACAGAAACTTCTTAAAGCCAAAGCAAATTATTATATTCCATTAGTGGTTCCCAGCTTGTTTATTTTTTCTTTGTTTATATATTAGAACATACATTTTGTATACATTTCAAAGTCGAACTGTTAGAGTAAAACTTTTAACAAAACCTTCTTGTGTGGTAAAAACATCTCAGACCCTCTGGAACCTTGTTCAGACAGAACTCTGGTTGGAACCCACTGCCTGACTTGCTGCTACTATCCTTGAAGTGCTGTTATTGGTAATTGATGGATTGATGCCTAAACATAAACCTATTTGAGCGCTTATCATGTGTCTCTTTCTTTACCCTCTAACAGCCAAGAGAAGGTGGCGTGTGTTAGAGTTGATGTCAGCCCAGATTCCCCGGGAGAGGGCTCCACTACAGAGACCTTCCTGTAATAAAGAAACACCCACTGACTCAATACTTTCATGCTCAGACGGTGCCTCATCAACATGGCAAAGAGCAAGACTGAACTGGAGCAGTACGACCCACCTGCTGGAAAAACAGACGAGCTCCCACAGAAACTCATAGTCCTGCGTGTTCAGCACATGTGCTTAGATGCACATGATGCCATACATCTAGAAAAGTACAAAGGAAATCTGATGTTTCCCATTTAGGCAGTTCAGCTCAACTATTTTAAAAATAAAAATGCCAAAGGAAGGCACTTTCTCATGAAGATCTGTCAGGATTTTGCTTTCATGTATTGTTTGGTGTACATCCAGATTTATCAGTAACAGTCACAGTACTGTACATTTTTTGTTTTACCTCATTTTTTTTTTATCTGAACAATAGTTAAGGTTTTTATTTGATCAACATAGATGTCGACCATGAGTCGAAACCAGGAGATTTTATCTTAATCAACCTCGACTGGACAGCAACCGAAAAATTTTATCTTCACACACACTATACCAAAGCACTACCAAGTTGAAGTAACAAACATTCTTGGTATTTAAAAAAAAAAAAGACACAAAGTTAACTAGTTACGGTTGTTTTAAAATCTATCTTCAAAAAGGAAGCACAAAAGGCTTAAAGAGCTTTTAAAAGTAAACCATTAAATCTGTAGAGATAAGTTGGGGTATCATTCAGGGCTGCCATGAGAGAGGAAGACTTTCCGCAGATAATAGGAAGGTGGAGCTACTGGAGCATAGGAATGCTGTTTGATCTCTCTCATGCAACAGACAGAGGGTCTGTGAGGTGTTTAAAATTATAGCTGCAGAAACACAGATCTAAAAAGCTTTTTTACATGCCATAGCTTAACCTGGCTGTGAGAGAGGGCAACGCTTTAAATGGATAACAGGAAGGCTAAGCGGAGTACACCAATGTTTGGTTTGTTCTTTTAAGCCTACAGCATCAGTCTCTGATAGAAAGTCATATATTTTAGATAGAAAAACTTGTTTTACAGTAAGTGCTTTCTAAGAGAGATCTTTAAATGCAGTTCCTATCTGCTACAATCAGCTAGTAGCTCAGAGCTTTACAAAAACCAGAAACCTGCTTCAGAATTCTGATGGGTGCATCTCTTGACAAAAACATTAAAGTAATAACCATGAATTTTGATTTATTTCTACAGTTTTTTCAGACTCCTGTTGCACCAAAAACACTACACTGTAAAACCGAAACCATCTGCTGGGCAAACCCAGTGTTCAATATTTCTGCTTTGAAGTTGCTCAGTCATTTTCACTATTCAACCCAAAGCGCATAGTGGATGTTAGTGTTTTATCTGTGTGTTCATGTGCTGTATTCTGTGTTATCATAGAAAAGAGGCCATATAAAGTCTGTACTATACAGGAAGCACTTTGATTGTAAACTTTATGACTTAAAGCAGATTACATTGTTGAACTTACTTTCCTAACATTTTTTTTAAAGATGTACAAATATAATTCTAGAGTGGTCAATAATTTTATCTCTTTTAGCCACAAGGCAGTTATGATTACTTGCCCTCTGTTTTATCTGTTGTCGCTGGCATCATAAATATTTTAACTGAGTAATAAAATATATTTAAGATGCAAAATAAAGAATATAAAGTATTTGTGGACCGCAGTTATAGTTGCACTTGATTTTATACTGTCTGTATTATTGTGAATATCGCTGTGTGAAAATGTCTAGAGTTTAAAATTGTTTTATGCAAAATATTTTTACTGTAAATGTAAAAAAAAAGATGATGTTGGAATTTGATTTCCTTTTTGCAAAGTGAAGTCCCGTTTTAGCAATAAATATTCTCTACACTTTAACATTAGGAGTCCTGCACTCCTCGAAATATTCTGGCCTAAGAATATTTTCGTGCAGCATTTTGTGCGTCTGTTTCATGTGTGTGGCGCCTCTGCAAACGACAGCTCATGGTGCCTTGTTGATGCTCTTTATGTGTTGTGTACCGGGCCATGTGATGGTGCACCGAGGGGCCGTTACATCCGTCACACTGCTCTGTCGCAGAGGCTTCTGTCTGTCGTATCGTTCCATGTCATTCCCAAGAACATGGCCTTGTCTGTTTTTCATTTACCTTACTAAACAGTGTGTTTCTATGTCACAACTCCGATATACGCTCACCACCAAAAAAAAAGGAAAATTAACAAAAGTTTATCTAAATAATCAGTATATGTTAAATTTATTGTGGTGTCAATGTCAAATATAAATGTGAATATTTACTTATTTTGCTGATAATTAGATCAGTTGATAGATTATGTAAATGATGAAAGACCCTATTTTCAAAGTATCACTACTTCTCAGAATGTATGAATCTGAATGAAAAGTCTCTTAGAAAAATGATGTTTAGCCATCTAAATCACTTGGTAAAAATGTACTTCTACTTGTGTACGGATCATCAGTGATTCTGTTTGCTGACTTCAGTCATGGCTGGTTGTTGCAAAGCAATAAACTAATTATTGGGGATTTTTTTCAGTCTTTCTTTCATCCTGAATGGTGACTGATTTTAAATCATATATAATGTGGATTATTTTTGTTGGTACTTTTTCTGTCAGTAACACCTGAGTACATTTGAATTACAGCAGCACAGTACTAAAACTTAGAAAATACTGTTTTATTTATATTTTTGTTTAATGTCACTTTGCATAGCATTCTATTTCAGTCCGTTCATTCAGATATATTAAAACATTTTTGAGTCCTGCAAATAAAATATGAGTACAAGTTCCCCTCTGGGAGAATATAAAATCTGAATGATTTAGCCCCATTTTTAGGTAGACGACTGAATTGAATTAAAGTGGATAATTTTTGTGTGAAAGATAATATCAAGCACTGAATATCAGATGCCATTTCCTCTCCATAGCTGCATGTAACAAATTGTATATAAAATAAAATGCAATGATATGGGCAAGGATACAATCATCAAGAGCAGAATGAATTACAGTATTTTATTCTGTGTATACAGTAGCAGCCATTCAAAATGGCAATTTCCAGCCGAAAAAGCAGCCCACTTCCATGCATCTCACGGCAGAATCCCCTCCAACTTCCAGCCACTGGAGGGACCCCCTTTTGCATATTTTTTTACTCTGACTCCAACTTTTCACTGAATTACAGGGTCTGACCAGGAGAAGGCGCTTCTCTTTAGATCTTAATGTCCACAAATCATGACAGAAAGAATATTTTATTAAAAAGATTGATGTTAAAAAGGAAGTGTAGGGGACCAGCCAAGGGCCCATCAAGGAAAGTGGGGAAATTGTGCATGCTACTACTGTAACTATGTCCCATCGTGCCATATTTGGATAAAACCAAGCAGCATATAAGCACAAATATATCAACTTATAAGCACTGGGGTGGGGGAGAATTTCATAAGCACCTTGCATTCATTCATCTGACAGTGCGGAGTAATTTGACAACTGGGTCACCAGTAGAATGATGACTCAAAACTCAGTATCAAATCAATACCATTAAGTAAGGGTGTCAACTATGATCTAAAAGACATATTGCTTTTGCTCTCTCATCTGGAAAGGTTTATAGGTCCATGTTCTAAGTGTTTTTCATGTGTGAAAGATGAAAACTAACAGACCGTAAATTTGGCAAAAATAATCTTAACTTGCAAAGCTGCATCTGAAGGACTGAGATAAGACAATATTTAGGGAAGGTTGAAGCAAGATAAATGAAAAAAAAAAAAGAGAGCAAGGGAGGAACTAAAACATAATTCATCCTATGTGTGCCAACCTCAACACATTGCAGCTATGACCAGCTGCCTTTAATGCAAGCAGCAGTTTATTCTGACCTAAAACTTTAGGTGGCAGCAGAGAGCCATGTTAAAAATGGCTGCAGGCAAACATAAACCATTTCACCCTTCAGTCAGTTTGATTTCCTGGAATAATGGAAGACCTTGCTGTGTTGTTAATGAATCATTAAACCCTTTATGATTTGAAGTTGTTTTGTAATTTAGAGTCCTGCTTCTTTTTGTGGAAAAACAGCATCCTGCTGTATCCGGTCCTAACTTTAAGGAAAGGTATTGTGTAATTTTATTAACACAGCTGTAGCTCAGTCAGCATTCAAACAGGTGTTAGAGGTACAATCTTGTGGTGCGAATTACTTCATTTCAGAAACTTCAATAATTTCCCATCTAACACTTACTCTAATGTGATAGCAAAATCTGTCACCTGACCACAGTGATATTTCTAGTAATTTATTATCTTCCAGGAATAAGTCTAAAAATGGACTGAGGCACACTATGTATCTGTAAATGATGGAGGACATGATATTGCACCTTTCTCCACGATAGGAACACTGAGAATTTGGGACCCACAGACATGTAATAGCTAAATATATCTCAAGACAAAAAATAAGTAATTAGAAATAGCAGTTTTAAACTAAATGTTAAATAAGAGCATCCAGGAAAATATTGAGTTCCACTTACAGAAGCTTCCAAAAATAAAAATCTTATATTCATAAATCTTTAAGTCCTTATAAAAAAAAAAAAGATTCAGAAGCCCACAACCGCACCCAAAATATTAAAGTAGTTTATCTTAGTAATCCTGTGCAAAAGGGGAAGTTTTTATAAAACTTATAAAACAGCACAACAGTCCCCCAGATGCTGCTTGTCCTAGAAGGATAAGTCAGTTTAGACCATAGCATAGAGCGATGGATTTCTTATGGAAATCAAGGTTGTTGAAGAGACAGAAAAGAATCCAGGATATTTTAGGTGGTGTGAAGTTTCCAGACTGCCAAAGTTACCAATTGGCTTTAAAGACCATATTTACTACTCCTAACTAGCAAACTGGCCTGTTGAGAAAGCATTTAGAGGATGAGGAACACCAGACTTAACAATCAAACAGGAGGATAACCTATAAAGCAACTTGATGCAGAGTCAGCACGATGCAGAGTCAGAAATTCATGCAAAAAATCAAAGACCCAGCCAAGGACTGAGGGCATTGCATGGGCATATGGTCTGTATGTAATAATTCTGCAGGTTTATTCTTTTACTAAATTAGTGAACTAAATATACTTAAAAATATTCAAATCAACTGACCTTCCCCTGTAAGTTTCCTGCTTTGTGCATTAATGATTTGTGCTTATCACAACAAACTGAAAAGTAATAGCTGCTCACTATATGATTAGAATAAAAACACAGTGTGTTAATATGCTGTCTATTTAGTAACCTTTGTGAAAACTGAAGTATACCAATTGAATCACAAGACATTATGCCAACAGTCGACCTGTTAGTAGAAATATCAGGAGTCGTTTTCTTAAATGTAATTCTGCATTAAGCAGTGAATAATCACCATGTAGAAACATATATTTAAAAATATCCTGTCAGTGAAAGAAATCATACTCTATTACATGTTAAAGATATATGTTTATTGTTTTATAGCCTTAAATTAAGTTTGTAAAGAAACAAACCTGAAGCCATCAGTCACGCAACTCTGCACATTACAAATGTTCTTGGACACATTTCATGAACTTTCAGACCAAACTCCTGTTAACATATAACAGGAGCTACATGACCCACAATCAATTACAGAAATCAAACTTCTGTACTAAAGTGACCATTTTCAGTTTTCATCTCTCATTATAACCACCTTTCCACAGCTTTACAAAAGACTACTTGAACAAATCTGGCTGCTTCTGAAGAGGATGCGTTACGCTGTGAACATACTCTGGGAATCCACCTGCTGTTTCTGGGTTACAAAGCATTACTGTTACATTTGATCACAGCAGGTAAACCAGCACTGTTTTATTCGACTCCTAAAATAATTTGCTTCTTAAGATAAAAGACAAACCTCCATTAAGAATACTCATATTAAATCTTTTTTTTTTTTTACTGGATCTGTCCTTTGTGTTTCAGCTCAGAGAGCAAACAATTAGGGAACGTACAACACTGCACCATGAGAGAACCAGTTTCCTTCTCTTCCTCTGAAATGCAGCACCATGTGCTGCTTGATGTTCAGTTAGCAACGTTCTGTGGCCCTTCTGGGATGAGTGACATAAAGAACGTTATGATAAAGGACCATGTGGAGGACAGGAAGCCCGCGTTCGGGGCGCTGTCTGGATCCTCTGCTCCTTCCTCTCCGCTCTCCCCATCGTCATCCGAAGCATCATCGTTCACTCCATCCTGCAAATATAAATCACCTTCCGATTAGGGCGAGCCCAGTTAAACTGCAACCAAAGGTGACTGAAAAAGTGAATAATCAAAGCGCTGAATATAAAATTATATGTAGAAAATGTAAAACCAGTCATAGGTTGTCTGCATAATAATGTGCTAAATTGTCAATGGTGACAAAATTTTTACCTCCAACATATTAGCACGGTTGGCTATAATAAATAAAAAAATATCAACTTTAATTTGTTGTATTTAGGCTATAGAACAAACTTTTCTCAAAGCAGTACAAATTCCTGTTTCTCCAACTAAAAAAAATAAAACAATCTATGGAGGGGTTTCAGGGAGAAAATGTGACAGATAAGTGGGGCGCTGTACCGCTTCTTGTAAGTCTTGGTTTTGTAGGTCTCCCTCCATTTCTTCCTGATTGGGCCGGTCTCCAGGGAGCTGCAGCTCGTTTTCCAGGTTGAAGGGAAACCAGCCGGCCTGATGGCTGCAGACACAAAATCACATCCATGATGGGAGGGAAAGTGTTTTGCTTTACAGACACCACCCATCTAAATTAAAAACGCACATTTGCTTTAATGCTGTGATGAGTTTGAAGGCAGGAACTACAACTCCAAACATCATCCCTGCAGTCAGTTCATCGGGATTAGGATCGCCAGCAAGTTTTCACTCTTCAAGTTAATGTAGGTGTTAATATCAACTGTTTTGCCAGTGAAATAATAAATATTTTAGTTAAGTGATCAGAACTTGCTTTTTCTTCTACATGAAAAAATACGTTCTCCTGCTTATTTAAGTAGAAGCAGTGAAGTGTAATCTTTTCATATATATTTCAATGTTCTTGTTCATTTCTGATGGTTTTATGCTAACAGCTCTGCAGAAATCACAGCCTGGATGCAGCAAAGTTTCCTTCCTTCTTCCCTTTTACAGGTCGTTTTATTTTTTTATTCCTTCCTTTCCATCTTTCCTTTTTTCTACCTGATGCTAATCATTGCTTCCTTCCCATAATTTCCTTTCCTTTCTCATGATCTCACCTTGAATCTTTACCTTTTCCCATATCTCCTTCCTTCCATATTCTTGTCCTTCCCTCTTCTCTCTTTCCATGTGCTAGCTCCACCCCTGCTCCCTTTGTCCTTTCTTCTCATCTTTTTTGAATACCCAATTCCATACTTGCTTTTCTGTCTATTTTTTTTTTTTTTTTACCATTCTTCAGTTTTCTATTTCTTCTAGTCCTCATGTACATTTTTTCTTTTTTACAAAGTCATTTGAATTTCTCCATCCCTCTCATCTGTTGAGTCCTTCCTAATCTAATATCTTATTCCAATTTTTACTGTTACCTCTATTCCACTCTATGCATACGCCCCATAAAGTTAGATTGACAGGACAGGGCTGACAAGTCTGGACCTCTCTGGAAGTTTGAAATGAGCAAGTTTTCTTTTCCTAAAACCAACCCTGGGGTTGGAAACCAGTTTTGCCTTTTTCAACATCAACAGAACAAAAAATAATCTCTCACTGCAGGTATCGGAAGTATTTAGGAATAATAAACATTGAAAAAAATATCCACTTGTTGGCAAACACAAATGAAAAAATGCTTCACTCACAGGTAGAGGACCAGCATGGCCATCATCACCATGACAAAACGGCTGAAGGATGAGTAGAAGTAGACTATGCTAAGCAAGATGGCAGCACGAGAGAATGTGTAGACCCAGTCCAGCCAATCCCTGTTGAGCTCCTCCTCATTTAGGATCTCCCCTCCCTGGGCGTTCATTTGGACTTCGGGGTTTCCGTGCCGACCCGCCTGCGGTCTTTGGCTCAATGGGTCCGCCTGACTGGAGTGAGTGGACATCTGGTCAGGTCGGTTTTGTAGTGAGGAAGCTGCCAGTAAATGACTGGAGAAGATCGAAAAGAGAGAGAGAGAAAACTATGAGCTAACAGAAAGGCCCAGCAAGATATGGGATTAGAATGCAAGGAACAACATAAATGGCCTTACTAGTGCAAATAGTATTGTCTTGCATACAGCTGCTGCCACCACATCAAAGTCATGGGGGTGTAATAGGAGGGCAGGTTTGTGGAAGCTGTTGCCATTTGCTGATTCCAGCTGGAAAGAAAAACCATAATAAAAGTACAGAAATAAGGAATCTCACAAAAATATACTTTGTTGATTTCATAACAGAAGGATTGTCTGTTCAAATTAGAACAAAGTCTTTCTAGATAAGACAGCAGTGCTTGAGAAACATTGAAATCAGAATTTACTTAAACAGCAAACCTGAAGCTTTAATATAAAGAGCTGATTTCTGTGTTGCAAAGGGGCAGAGCATCGATCCGTGAAGGTTTTAACCCACCACTAAGATAAGTGGAATCAATGGGCCTCATACAAGAACTGTTCAGAGGAACAAATACTTTATTCAATCGTTCGTACGGGTTATTTAGGTCAAAATATCACATTCACCATTTTTCTCCTATTTCTAATCTTCTCTAAGCTCTTATCCAAATCTAGTTTTTCAATAAATGGCTACATTTGCTTTTCCTAGAAGCTACTGTCCATCTTATTAGGCTACATCATTATATATTATACAACTCTGCATTTATAAATTAAAATTTGATTCTATCAAACAATACTTGCAACTGACTTATCAGTATCACGAGGATTTTGTTTTAATTTTCTTGTAATTTCCTCAAAAGATAGAACAGTAAGAGATCAGGCTACTATTAAAATAACATCTGGGAAAGAAAATGGATGAAAAGTTCAGTCAAACTCCTCCTAACAATGAGACTTTTTTTCATTTCCCTCCATGGAGGCTCGGCTTCTCTTTTACACCAAATGTTTAAATGTCTGTCTGACTTCGATAAATTTGAGTTAAGCTGTCAGCGTTGTGAGAGAAATTATGATGAAGGGATGGCAGACGTGGTCTGGGCATGTGCAGCACAGGTGTGTTTGTAAATTAAAAGGAGATTCAGCAGAAAGTTTTTGTGTTGGTTTAACTTGAGCTCATATTAACTATTTTGAGCATATTTTTGACTTTTTTCAAAATAAAATTTTTCTTTTTTTATTATTTAATTTTGTTTACTTCTGTGCAACTATGACATTTACAGCTCTTGTATTTTATTCCCCACTCCTTGGCTTTTCACTGCTCCTTTAATTCTGCTTTTCGGATCCCAGTCAGACCTTGATGTGTGAACCTTTAAAGTTTGTCTTCTTGGTCTTCAGAGCCATTGCTGCGAATGAACACGCAGGCATGGGAATTCGTAGCGTTGTATGGGGCAGTAATTATGCAGATTTACATTTCTCAGGAACGCACACTCACTTTCGCACAGGTGGGCTAAATCACGTTTAAGAGGATTACGTTTATTAAACCTGACACACTGTGTTCATAAAAGCCTACAGGAGGAGAAACTTATGACAAGAATCCAAAAATATTGTTGCATAAGGCCCAATGTCTGGACAGATGCTGGATGGGATTAAAAAGGAATGAAAAGAAAATTTGCTTCGACTAATGCAGGCAAATTAAAATAGTTTCCGTTATTTATTCTGCTAGCAAATCATGGGAGCCCTAAATCAAATAAACGTATTGAATTAATGTTGGATTTAAAGAATAAGGGTTTTGTGCTGTATTAGGTTTTAAATACAAAAGCAGACTTTGTTTATTTAAAAGTTTCCCTATCTTTGCTCTGTCAAAGGCATTCAAGTCAAAGAGCTTACCTTTGCATAAATTGTGAATACATGTGTTGGTAGGGAAAGGCTCCAGCTTGCTGTCTCAGCCAATCATTGCTCTCTCCAGCTGTCGTCTGACCTGCCTGACCAGCACCATTAGAGCTCTGAGAGGCCTGGAACCAGAAATCGACACAATATTAGCAATAGCCATGAAATAAACGCGCACACAACAATGTGAAACCTCCAGGGAGATGGGGATTACAGCAGTGAAGTGCATGATGAAAAGAAGAGAGATGATGATGAAATTATTGGAAACAGGAGAGAAGGATGCAGATGACCCACCGTGGGACTGACGGTGGTCTCCTGTGGCTTGTTACTGCGGCTGCGGGGCGGCTGTGGGGAGCTGGGAGGGGTTCTGGAGGCACAGACTAGATGGAGCATATGGTACTCATCCTGCTGTAGATGGGAGGACAGCTTATTAGCTCACACACGTCCAGTATTGCATGTTCTTCACAACTTTATCCAAGTACTTTACCCACACAGAAAACATCAAAGCACTTCTAGCCTACACTTTGAACATGTGTTCAAGTAAGAGTAGAAATAAGATTATTGATATAATAGATATCGTTTTATCAAACGCTAAACTAAAAATAAAATAAAAGTAATTTATACAATTGTTAGAGACCATACTACTAACTAAATTTATTCATTTTCTATTAGTGGAAAAGGGGGATTTGCCCTAATACAAATTTACAGCAACTTACCTTCCTAAGCACATCTTTTAAGGTAAGGTGATCTAAAAGCAGTTTCCCAGAATAAACCAGCCTCTGGTCTTTGGAGCTCTAAAAACACAGAATAATGACAACGAGGTCATTGGAGATGTGGTTAAGTTAATGACATTTATTTTAGGAACAATGTAGGACACCAAGATTTTCATGCTTGATTTAGTAAAAAATTCTAAATACCACGTTTCAGACGGGAAGGATTACAAAATTAAAGGTCAAACAACTGATGTAAGTAATAAGAATGAGATCATCGTCGCCTTAGTACGAGTAAGTGGCTCTTCATGGATTTAGCAGCAAGTACAACCAGGTCAGAGCCTGCCCTGATTAAAACTAAGTCCATTCTACTACCATTCAAGAATTCAAATGGCTTTTAAAGCTGCTAAGCTTAGCATATACATCAGAGGTAATGATAAATAACCCAAACCGAAGTACATCCCTTTGTGTCAGGTCGCTGCAGAAGGCAGCAGTTTCTATCTGTTAAAAGAAGACGGCAGCAGAACAAGTTCTCTGCACAGAGAACAAAATCAGATTAGAGCTGCAATAACGCCGGAATCTAAATACTTTAGAGCTCTGGCGTCTTAAATCCTCTGGCGTTTCTTTTAGCTTTGGAAACCCAGTTTCTCTAACTTGGAGATTAGATCAGAAGTCTGCAACGCTTCATGATTTTTCCAATGTGATAAGATTCAAGGAAGAAACTCTGCAGAATCCACAAAGTAAAATAAGGTTATGTAAGTTTTGGAAACATAAAAAAAAGACAGAAAACACTTTCTGTGATTCAAGCTGGGTCTCTGATATTTGGTTGTCAGCTTTAGGCTCTTAGGCATCCAATAAACATGTCATCCAATGACTATCAGGAAGTATTTCACTATCAGAGTCTGTGGCTGCAGTTTTTGCTTCAGGTATGGAATTCATGATTACACTTATAACACGATTCCTAAGAAAACCTTTTTCTTTACCTGCTAGTGAAGATTGACTGGTTGATAATCGCTGCTGAGCATTTAAATTAAGCATCCCAAAATATCAATATCTACCAATTAACTTCTTTTTATTCTTATAATCAAACTTTTTTATTGATGAAACTGTTCAATTTTCTTTTACATGAGTAGAATTTCAAAATCTACCTAATCCTCCTAAGATTTAAAGTATTTATCAACTAAATGTTACATGCTTTTCATTTAGGACAGTATCCTTAAAAAAACTAGGTCTAATTTTTATCCTAATTTCTGAATAAAACTATGATCTTTATTGAAAAAATAATGCAAGTTTGCTGCATTTGTGTTTCTTTGCTGAATGTTTTCAATCTTTGGGCTTAAGATTTAGCAACGAAAGGTTGCCTTTATCTAATGTCTTGTAATTTACCTAGTCATAGTTTTTGCCTTTTTGAAGCAAAGAGTTTTCAAGACTGTTCTGCAATGCATAGGCAAAATGACAATTAAGATTTTCTAATCTAATCATTAGTTTAATTAGGAACCACTACAAGTCAATTATCAGTAGGGCTTTAGAATAACCATGATTATTGAAATAATCGTCAACTAATTCAGTAATCGTTGAATCTGTTAACTGGAGTATAGAGACAGAGCGACCCACTTAGAGCAGTCAAAATTGTGGAAAAAAAAATACAGAAACATTTTGCATTTAAGATGAAAAAACTTTTACAACTGTCAGTATGTTCCATTCAGAAGTCCATGAGATGAAAAGTTTTAGTTTCACCTGGTTTAATTCTGTATAAAATCTTCTTTACGGAACCTTTCGCTATCGGATTATTAATCGATTAATCAGAAAAATGATCGACAGATTAATCGATCATCAAAATAATCGTTAGTTGCAGCCCTAATTAGGGATGTAAATCCACCCATCATAGCAATTTGATTGATTTCCTGACCCAACGATTCGATTATTTTCGATACTCAAGAGCACACCATGATACGATTTGATTAATTTGTTGGGTTTTTTTTAACCTTACAGGCTAGACAATTTTTCAAATTTGATATAAATCAATGAAAGCTGTAATATCATTATGCATTTTATTTGAGAAACAACAGCAAATAACAGCAGTAGCAAAGCTGTACTCAACTTTGGCCTATGAAAACCCCATTCACTGAAAAATAATAATAATAATAATTAATGCCACCACAGCATGGGAGTCAGAATTACGTCCAGGAGCAAATGAATAAAAATAGACCGGAGGAGAAGAAAAAACATGAATTGATACTCTTGCGATTGTGTCGATGCATCGCTTCGTCGGCTGTTGGATCGATGCAGCGATAAAAACGATTATTATTTACACCCCTAGCCCTAATTATCGGAAAGGTGTTCAAACTACAGAAAGTAATAGCTAATCAACTTCCTTTTTTGTTTGTTTGTTTTTTTTTTTACATAATTTACTGGATGTATAATGGCAATCATATAAGCAAAACATAGAAACTGCCATACATTTCATAGTTGTTGTTATTGTTATTTGGGGTATGGGGTTTTTCAAAGTTTATATTTTAATATAATTAATTTTAAATTGAATAATTACTAAAGTTTGTAATAGACCTAGACAGTCAGCAAAGCATAGCACTGTTGGTGCTCTCTAGTAATACTACTCAGTGTTAAACAAAAGCAGATTAAACAATCGGATTTAACAATGGAATATTAACTAGACAAACTGCATTACGTTGCTTACAGCTTACAACAGTGAAATGTATACAGTTTTACGAAATATATTTACTGTATTTTTGTATAAGAGAGACACTTACAGGTTTACTGGGGTAAACATCAGACAAGTGGGCTTTAAGCTTTTCTACGGTCCAGTTCTGGTAGCAGTTGATTGTCTGGTCATCGTACTTCTGGTTGGGAGCCTTGATGACGAGGATGACAGGACTGTCCACAACAGCTTGATCCATGACTCCAAAACATCTGCCTTCACAGAAACATCCAAAGAAAAGTCTCTGGGACACGCCTCTCTGTGCCCTGCTTCCAGTCTTAAATTATTTTGTGAATTTCTAACGACGACGGAGTCCTTCAGTTATTTGGCACGGGGGGAAAACTGAGAAATAAGAAACAGTTAAAGTTAGAAGCAACCCTTATGTTTCCCTTTTTTTTTATCATAGCAAGTGACAAGAACAAGCAAACACAAATATACAGTTAATATTTGTGACACAAACAGGAAAGCTTTCATAACATTAACTGACAACTCAATATTTAAAACTACCTCAAGACTACGGATGGAGCCGAGGCTCGCTGTCTGTTTATCTCAATATAAAACATAAAATAACTGACCGCCACTATGTCAGGAATATTTGACAGCTAGCTAAGCTAATATTAGCTTCAACCGATTTCTTTTACCAACAACCTTAATGAAGCCATAGATAACACGCGGTTATCTTCTATGGAGAACAATAGCAGGTAATAAGAACCGGCCTTGTGTCAGAGTATGCTCTAAAGGATGTCAAAGCTGTTTTGCAGACCTTGTTTATCCCCAGTGACCGAAATGTTTCATCGTTAAAGCCCAGCCTAGCTTCCTCCGCTTCTTCCCCAGTGTTACTGGCGGATTGTAAACAACACTGTGGCGCACTACCGCCACCCACTGGCCTGAAGACGATAGTTGTAAATAATAATAATAATAATAATAATAATAATAATAATAATAATAATAATAATAATAATAATAATAATAATAATAATAATAATAATAACAATAAGATTAGCGCCAATTCAGAACATATGTAATTTCTGAGCACTTTACACAGACAATTCAACCAGATCATACAGCCAGATTGGTTCAAAGTTTTCTGTCTAAGGAAAACCAGCTGATTGCATCAACTCATTGCCATGGAAGCAATCCCTCACACCAAGCATGCTTGTAGCGACAGTGAAGAGGAAAACTCCCTTTTAACAAGACGAAACCTTCAGCAGAACTAGCCTCAGTGTGAGCGGCCATTTGCTGAGGTCGACTAGGGCTCAAAGAGACAGAAGCAGAGATACAAAAGACAACTGTAAACTAGCTCCACAGGAGGCCCATCCAGGAAGCACAGCCAGGCAGACAAGCTCCGAGCCAGCTCCCATGTCAGAGGATGAGAGAGAGCATGTTCAGTTGGTCATATTCAGTTATAATAATAATAATAATGACTTAGAAGGAAATCAAAACTGATTGTAAGTTATCATTTATCCCTGCAGAACAAATGATTGCACTTGAAACCCTTAAGCTGTCTGATTCATCGCCAGCTTTGCAGGTGATGAAGCAGACTAAAGATGTTTTATCATTATCTCCCTTTTATCTCCTCTTTCTTTCATCTTTTCTCCTTTTTTTTCTGTTTTTCCTTCCCTGTCCTACTTACATTGCAGTGTCCATATAATCTGTAATACTCCCTGCACGAATTATAATAAAGCTATTTATATGCATAAATCAAGTGGAACACTATGGCGATAGCAGTACTGCTCCACTTGTAGAAGTAAAATCTGTTTGGCTCTTTTTGGCATCAAAACAATTATTCTTATTGCCACATCGCCATACAGGACACAGAAACAAAAAAAAAAAAAAAAACCCTTAAGCAAAACTAAATTAAATGATTAATTAAAAAATTATTACATTTTTTAATAATTAATAATTATTAAATTATTAAATTAAAAACAGGAAGGAATCACAAATATCAATTTGTAATAAATAAATCAGATTTTTAAAACATATGCATGTCTACATTGAAACAGAAAATAAACCATTTCAACAGCAAAATGATTTAAATTACACTAAATTAAGTTAAAGTTAAAACGGATTTAAAAACGGATTTTTTAAATTTTCCTTTGCTTCCCTTCCCCTATGAGAACCAGAAATACATTCTAGTTTATCTGCAATTAACATAAATAAGCTGCGGACACACTCTCACAACATGTTGCTACATTTATTATTATTGACCAACTAAGACTGGTCACTCTTTGGGGGTGAAATTATTTTTGTTTGTTACTGTCATCTGCTGGAGAGAATTCTTTACTACAACATAAATACACACAGTGATCTACAGGGTCCTGGTGAATATCCAGATCTGAGTGCACTACTGTTTGACCACGAAGAAAGGGAAGTCAGGATGTACTACAAAATACACAACTGATGTGCAATGTTTATCAGTCCACCTAGCATTTTTTACTGTGCAAATACAACCCAACGGAAGGATTTAAACGTTAACAAGTACTATAAAATTTAACTAAGCAGTTTAATTACTTTTTGGGCAAGCTCAAAAGCAGAGATAATTAAAAAAAGAGAAACTGTGATCTTGTTCGAGCTTTCAAACAGAAAGTGCAGTTGAGTGTTTCATAAAACACCAGCATACTCTCACATGCCTACTCCATCATGGAAGTCTGCCAATCAAATGCAACCTGTCTCCTTTGGCTACGTTGAATCCTAAATGATGAAGGAATTGATGCCTTCTTTAAATATTTGTATTGCATCTTTTATGAACTTGTGGTTCAGACATCAATGTGCTCCTAGAATATTGTTGTTAGACCACCCAGTCCTGAGTAGAGTTACCACTCATTTCTCCATTTGTGGATAATCGCCGTGGTACCAGACTACAGAAATTGTACTGAAACAATTCAAATACTGATAAATATTAAAATCTGTGTTTCTTACCTGCTTTTTAATGTGCTGTAAGGAGGTGACATGTTTATACAGCTTATTTTCTATCTGTGGTACATTTTGGACTATGATGAAAGTAATGTGAACTAAAAGAATATAAATGTTTTTTTGTTTGTTTGTTTTAGAAAGCCTAATGCTTGGCTTCATCACTCAAAATCTTTGCATGTCATTTGGGCACAGAGCCTTTGTGCTTTTTCCTGATTAGCAGAGTGCACCTCATTCTTGTTATTGAAATGGTTGCAGCATGCTGCCACTTGTGCGTTAGAGCTCATTAAAATGTTTACAGAATGGAACTGCATTTCTAAAGAAGAAATTCCTTTTACAAAATTGAAATGAGAAGCAGGTGTGGGCTATACAGTATATTTAGGATATACAGTTTCCCTTGTCGTTGTTAATATTCTACTTTAAAAATGTGGTTTAGTAAATTGTTTGATTCATATTCTGAAATTGTGGCTTGACTGGAGACTTTTCTTAAATACGAAATCATTCTAGTTATTTACTTCTTGCAAAGTCCATGGAAGCTCATTTCCTCTGAAATAAACAAATGCATACTTCCTACCATGAAATATTCTCCCTAACCTGATTCAAGAACACCACACATCAGTGGTCAGTATTTTTCATTTAATGGCTAAGCATTAAGTACCAATTTTTCACTTCCTTTCTCTCTGTGTGTCCTATTACTGTGCAGCATAAAGGTCCTTTCCCACGCTCTCATTCTGTGCAGCAGTTATTATATCTTACATAAGAGACACTTTTTGACCTGCTATCCACTGTTGTAAGATTTTCAAGGAGGAAATGCTTGTTATTATGCCATTAAGCATTGTTCTTGCATAAACTTTTCACATCTCTGCAAAAAAAAAAAAAAAACCCAAACAAAACATGTTTTTTTTTTTTAACTAGCTTTCCTGTGGAGTTGGATGTTAATTTTAGTTAGACTTTGGTGTGTGTAGCCATTTTAAATGCAAATGTTGCACAAATTTTTTATTTTTTTTTTTACAAATTTGCACATAATAAATATCACTGGGATCACATTGAATGAATAGTAGGTGGAAAGTTTTAGGGGGTGAAGAGATCATGGCTGACATTGAATATTGGACCTTTCTTGATAGACGGAGGGTTGAGGTTCCAGTGGAACATCGGTCCATCAACAAAGCTCAGGTTGGGAGGAGTTTGGTGTTCAATTGTCCAGTCATGGTTTGTCATTTCTTTCCAAGTAGGAGCTAGTGAGTGATGGTAAATGGGAGGCAGGACAGGCAGCTGAGTGAGGCAGAGGAAGGAGTAAGGACTTGGAGAAAAAAAAGGACTAACAGAAGAGAAACAATGAGAGAGGCCTTTAAAATAAAGCTTAATTTAAAAGCACAAACTAAACTGTTCCATCACCCTATTTTTCTAATGGTTATTGGTTCCAGATGTTTTTTTTTTCTTGTAACAATTTCAAATTACCGTACTAGATTATATCAAGGCTAATGGCTAAGAAAGTGTTTATATTTATTAATCAGTAAAAAGTATATATCTTATTTAAATTTTTTTAGGTTTATTATGCATTCAACATATAATGAATGCTAAAATATGTTTGCAGATGTTAGGTTATAACTGAGTCTAAAATTTTGAATGTAAGCAACATATTTGGTCATGAAACCAGTCAGATTGTGTTCTCTTGCTCACCCTTATTATGTGTAAGAAACACTTAAGTTATGAGGGTTTTACAGATTAATTATTAATATCTTATTCACTAATAATGAATAATCATCTGATGCTCTACAATAACACATCTCACCAGGCAGTATTCATGAAACAAGAACTGTCAGAGACTGAAAGCTATTTGGCTGCTAGTCAGGTGGTGCTTCGACTTAATAATTTTGATCACAATGATTAACTTTGTTAATAATTGCATTTTTGGATCATTATTAGGTCAACTGAACCTATTGTTTCAAAACAGTGTGTTAAGGAAATGTGTGAGATTGCTCAGGGTGGATCTTAGAATTGGTCGCTGAGACCTTATTCTTTCAGGAGGAGTGTAACTATTCAAACGACAGGAAAAAAGAGAATATAGAGGCACCATTATTTATCTTTTCCATTAAGTTTGGATTGCTGCAATCACATATAACATTTGAAAAATTGTGTGCTCTGCATTTGACAAACTTAAGGCAAGAGCTCTTTCAGCACTTTTTTACTACAAATTATAGCTTCCAGCAAAATGTCAGCATGCTCTCAGATAGAGAAATACCTGTGACCTATAGCCTCATACTTAAGTCTGCCGAATTATAGAGGTTACCCATAGGGCGTGCAATCATTTTGATGGGATTTCCTTCAGCAGAAAGGAAAATATGAAAGAATTTCTAAAAAGTCTACAAACAATTTTGAGCAAGAGGTTGATAGATGCATGACAAATAAGGATAATGAATGTAAAACCAAGTACTATTGAAAATGTTTCTATATAGCAAGACATAACAAACTAAGAAAATAAAATAACAGCTGAATATTAAAAGAGATTTTAAATTTTTATATCTCCCAATAACCTTAACGAAATGTAGTTGAATGTAACTGGGCTTTGTAAACTTTGTTTTAAATGTTCTCCTAATTGAATGTTAAATTACAACTTGGTGAACTCCCTTGCTGCTTTTAGATCATAACTTATAAGCTTTAGCCTGCAAACCAGCTCCTAGTGAATCTCCTAAACCAGGCTAAATAGGAGTTAGCCTGTACATCTCTTTTTTTGTTTTTGAGTATTATACCTTTCTTAAAATACATATATTTTACATACTTGAGGTACTCTCAAAAATAAACACGTGTCATTCTTGAACTCATGTTCATTTAAGACTTTTGCCTTGCAGCATAAATGTCCTGATTTTGAATCCGAGCCTGCATGAAGTTTGCATGTTCTCCCTTTGCATGTGTGGGTTCTCTCTGAAGACTTTGGCTTCCTCCCACAGTCAAAAGAAAGAGACTG